AACACGGTGGCGTACACACCGGTCAGCACGGTAGCGTAGGCATCGGTCAACACGGTGGCGTACACACCGGTCAACACGGTGCCGTATACATCGGTCAGCACAGTGGCGTACACACCAGTCAACACGGTGGCGTACACATCGGTCAGCACAGTGGCGTACACACCGGTCAGCACGGTGGCGTACACACAAGTCAACACGGTGGCGTACACACCAGTCAACACGGTGGCGTACACATCGGTCAGCACAGTGGCGTGCACACCGGTCAGCACGGTGGCGTACACACAAGTCAGCACGGTGGCGTACACACCGGTCAGCACAGTGGCGTACACACCGGTCAGCACGGTGGCGTACACACCGGTCAATACGGTGGCGTACACACCGGTCAACACGGTGGCGTACACACAAGTCAACACGGTGGCGTACACACCAGTCAGCACGGTGGCGTACACACCGGTCAATACGGTGGCGTACACGCCGGTCAATACGGTGGCGTACACACCGGTCAGCACGGTGGCGTACACACCGGTCAGCACAGTGGCGTACACACCGGTCAGCACGGTGGCGTACACACCGGTCAATACGATGGCGTACACACCGGTCAATACGGTGGCGTACACACCGGTCAGCACAGCACGGTGGCGTACACACCAGTCGACACGGTGGCGTGCACACCGGTCAGCACGGTGGCGTACACACCGGTCAGCACGGTGGCGTACACACCGGTCAGCACGGTGGCGTACACACCGGTCAATACGATGGCGTACACACCGGTCAATACGGTGGCGTACACACCGGTCAGCACAGCACGGTGGCGTACACACCAGTCGACACGGTGGCGTGCACACCGGTCAGCACGGTGGCGTACACACCGGTCAGCACGGTGGCGTACACACAAGTCAGCACGGTGGCGTACACACCGGTCAGCACAGTGGCGTACACACCGGTCAGCACGGTGGCGTACACACCGGTCAATACGGTGGCGTACACACCGGTCAACACGGTGGGGTACACACAAGTCAACACGGTGGCGTACACACCAGTCAGCACGGTGGCGTACGCACCAGTCAGCACGGTGGCGTACACACCGGTCAATACGGTGGCGTACACGCCGGTCAATACGGTGGCGTACACACCGGTCAGCACGGTGGCGTACACACCGGTCAGCACAGTGGCGTACACACCGGTCAGCACGGTGGCGTACACACTGGTCAATACGATGGCGTACACACCGGTCAATGCGGTGGCGTACACACCGGTCAGCACAGCACGGTGGCGTACACACCAGTCGACACGGTGGCGTGCACACCGGTCAGCACGGTGGCGTACACACCGGTCAGCACAGTGGCGTACACACCGGTCAGCACGGTGGCGTACGCACCGGTCAGCACTGCCCGGGCCGACCACAGCGGCAGCCGATCAACAACCCGCACGACGCTGCCGACCAATCTACTTTAATCACGGCGCCACCAGCAGCCAATCACCGAAACAGCCCACAAACGCGTCTCGCTCCCAACCAATCGTCGTCCCGCCAACTCTCCCAAGCGAACCCTCGTCGTCCCGCCAGCTCTCCCAGCGGCCCTCGGCCAAGCCGTCGCTTAAGCCGCCCGTCGCCTGATGCCGCCGACCGCTCACCATGTCCAGCGGCATCTGCGCGGCGATGTCGAAGCCGAAGGCGGCGCGCAGGTAGCGCTGCTCCACTCGGCTGCCCACCAGGATGTACATGGTGTCCAGACAGTCGAGCAGGTACACGCCCGACGAGTCGACGAACTCGGAGGACAGCTGCAGCCGCGGCGGCTGCGGGATCAGCAGCTCGTCCTGCTCGATGGCACCCTGTGTGGGCAGGTCACAACAGGTCACGGCAGGTCAGGTCACACCAGGTCACGGCCAGGTGGCGTCACGCCGGGTCACGATAGGTCATGTCCCACAAGGTCACGACAGGTCACGTCACACAAGGTCACGGCAGGTCAGGTCACACCAGGTTACGCCAGGCGGCGTCACACCAGGTCACGACCGGTCGGCATCACACTGGGTCACAGCCGGTCAGGTCACACCAGGTCACGACAGGCCAGGTCACACCAGGTCACAGCCGGTCAGGTCACACCAGGTCACGACAGGCCAGGTCACACCAGGTCACGACCGGTCGGCGTCACACCCACAACATCGCGACATACTCACCACAGCATGGCGAAACGGTTACTGCGGCAGCGCGTGTCGCCAGTCCATGAAAGCACACATGCTCATGCTCGTAGGATAACCGACACGCAATCACGGCTCTGCGTGACGTGATCAGGCTTTCGTCGCGACCACGTCCGAATCATGTCACCGGGGACAGCCGGGGCCGTCCAAGACATTGCACTGGGCGTTCAGTGCCGCCCCAGCAAAATATCGTGCATTCCTGTGGCGGGACAAACGTTATAAAACGCCAGCGCCTCTTGACACACATGAGCCAGTGGGACGCAGTCTTCTGAGCTTCGCACCCCCTGGGCTTGACCTGAGTCAGGGTCAGAGGGCCTAGCAGGGCTTTCACAGCACCGCCCGCCGGCGATCTGGGTGTTCGTGCTCAGTCAGTCTCGGCTCCACACCGCAGCAATGACGTGGAGCATCCCCGCCAGACTACGGATGATCATAGCAATGGTGGTGGGGACATGATCATCATGCACCCATGTCCAATGGAGAAGGCCCAGTTGGCACATGCCGCCTGCCAGAACGCTGCCGGTTCTGTTGCCGCTCGGCTGCAGCCGTCGAGTCGCGACCGATGGTGAACCAACAGGCTACGGCTAGTTTAAGTCCCTAAACCCCTGCACAGTCCATTTCACTCACTGATGGACCAACAGGGTGTAAGACGAAGCCGTACATCTCTGAGATACTCTCTTGGGCCACACAACAATCGAATGACCCAACTACATTGACCTAAGGTCACATATCAAGGTCAGAACGGGGTCAAAACCAATTTGTTTTCTTACTTCAGGGCTTGCTAATTGGGTTAGCTTCTGGTGCTCAGTTAAAATTTATTGATAACATGAACTGCATTGCACATCTTCCATGGACTTCTTATAGGTCAGAATAGGTAACTGACCTAAATAACCCAGGTCATCATTTCGTTTTTGGGAACATACTGCCCAACTTAATCTTTGTTGCCGATTCAAATGCAGAGCTCAAAGCAGTCTTCTATGGTTTCGGTCACTATGACCTTTCACAACATTGACTGAGAGCCGATTGACGACCGTTATATCTGGAAATGACGCTCACGAACACCAGATATGAATGTCTCCACAATGGTATTTTTCTTCGCCTTGATCACCGCATGGCTTATGAAACGAAATAATTTGAATGACGTTATTATAACGTCATTAATGCCAGAGGTTCTTTGAAATATTCCCCCCGAAATATTTTCCCCATTTTCGCGGGCATGTGGCATATCTTATCTTATCTTAAGAAAGGCAGGGTTGTGAACTGCACCGAAATGTCTTCAAGATGGCCATTTCAGTTCAAACCCCCACATAAGCACGGAACACTCCCTTTAATATTGCAGGGCATTCGTATCTGGCCAGAGCTGGTAGAGACGAAGCATGGCCTAGCATACCGAGATATCTGGCCATCTGGACCTGGACGAAAATAGTTTCGGGCCAATGCGGACGTTCTACGCCAGAAATCCTCCCTTCCAGCACCATTCTGCCACGAGAATTACGTAACGAAATTAGCGCGACACCCAATGTCTTCGTTTGGTGCATCTTTCACTGACTTCGGATCACTCCGTCTTTGTCTGAAACGCCTGGCCCATCATGCCACTGATTCAGGATTGTCGTCGACTGCGTGATCCGACCATTGTACATCGGTGATGTCACTGCACGGGGACGTCCCAGAACAAACGTCAACGATTCTCCCCGTATATTGACAATAACGAGTCAAGTGCATTCGAATACAATAAATTATCCAGTACGTGATCGGTCGTACATTCGGCGGCTCTCCATTCACGTCACGCGCGCCGCCGTGCCCTGGCACGGCGCCAGCGCGCATGACACGTGCACGTGCGGGATTTTTTCAGCCCGCGCCACAGCCGCTAGCTCCGGCTGTACCGCCGTCCCAAACCCCGCCAGTTAATCAAGGAGTGCTGAGAAGGACAGAAAGCGGTTGACCGGGTCACGCCCGGTCATAATTTGAACAGGGGCGCCGCCCGGCGAGCCGGGGCGACTGATCCAGGCTACACAATCATACCGGCACTAGTAGCGATCACATTGAACACGGGGTCGGGCGAGCCGGCGGTGGAAGAGGCGCCGCGGCTCGGCCGGACGCGCCGCCCCCCGGTCCGCCCGGTCCACGCGGGCGCGTTGGGGCGACTCTCACACGGCGCGGCCCACAGTACCGGCGGGGAGCGGGGCGGCAGAGAGGGGGGCGCCGGCTTGCCGGCGTTGACACGGGCCCCCTCGGCCCCCACGGTGGCGAAAACACAGGCCGGCCCACGACGCACCGCGGCGCTGCTCGAAATCCGGGCCTGAACGTCCGACTGTTAACTGATATATGGTACGCTAACGCGTTAACGTAATATCGGCGTAGCATCTGTGAAACGGGCATCCTTCACAGCGGATGACAATTTCCGCACGGTTCATCGGTGGTCCGACCGGGCCGCGATGACCGCCTCGGGGGCCGCGACTCCGCCGACAGACCGTGCTGACCCGTCGGAGTCTGGCGTGTGACCGCGGGCAGGCGGCTCCATCCGCCGCCGCTCCGCTGCAGACCCTCCGACCAGCCGCTGGCCGATCACGGCCGCGCGGTGGCCACCCGCCACCGCTAGCACGGACGGAGCACCGGCGCACCGCCTCCCCCACCGCGGCCCGCCGCCCGCGGCCACCGGCGGCCGGCGCGCCGCAGTCTCGCGCGGAATCAGTCAGCGCGCCACCGAGCGGCGCGCCACCGACCGGCGCGCCACGCGCGGCGGCGCGGAGCTCCTCCACCGCGCCACGGGGAGCGGCCGCCGCCGGGGGAGGCGGCGGCGCGAGCCTCGACGCCGTCTCGTCAGGCGCGCGCTGGGATGGCTCATCTGATCTTGGCCTTGAGGTGCTGCAGAAACTCGACGTACGAGAAGGCCGACTCGGCGCGGTCCTCGACCAGACGAGCCATGAACTGGTGTCGCAGCTTGCTGTCCTCCCTGCAGCACGCCGACGCCCCAGTCACGCCGACGGTCAGGACGCCCACAGCATTCACGCCACAAACATAGCCCGTAAAGAACGGAGCGTATTCACAGCAGCAAGTGTACCAATTCTTCGAATTATCACCATGATCCTAAAGACCGCGTGACGAAACCCAATCCACGAAAGACACCGCACGACTCCGCAGGGTCGGACATGGGCATGGTGCAGGGCTCCCACGGGCAAACGGTGCAGGAGTTGACCGTGATTCGTAGTGGTGCTATCCTCTCCAGGCGCTCCGTGTAGTCGGCACTGAGACCAATCACGTCGGCCAAGAGTCAGTGCTGCTGTCCCCCCCCCCCGGCGGTGTACCCACCTGAAGATGTGGAGCACCGCACAGAATGAGCGCGTGGCCTGCAGGAAGGTGACGAAACTCCTCAGACGGCGACTGTCGTCCGTCTCCAGCTCCGGTAGTTCCACCTGCACGGTGCGGGGGCGTACACACCGGTCAGCACGGTAGCGTACACATCGGTCAACACGGTGGCGTACACACCGGTCAGCACGGTAGCGTACACATCGGTCAACACGGTGGCGTACACACCGGTCAGCACGGTAGCGTACACATCGGTCAACACGGTGGCGTACACACCGGTCAACACGGTGCCGTATACATCGGTCAGCACAGTGGCGTACACACCAGTCAACACGGTGGCGTACACATCGGTCAGCACAGTGGCGTACACACCGGTCAGCACGGTGGCGTACACACAAGTCAACACGGTGACGTACACACCAGTCAACACGGTGGCGTACACATCGGTCAGCACAGTGGCGTGCACACCGGTCAGCACGGTGGCGTACACACAAGTCAGCACGGTGGCGTACACACCGGTCAGCACAGTGGCGTACACACCGGTCAGCACGGTGGCGTACACACCGGTCAATACGGTGGCGTACACACCGGTCAACACGGTGGCGTACACACAAGTCAACACGGTGGCGTACACACCAGTCAGCACGGTGGCGTGCATACCGGTCAATACGGTGGCGTACACACCGGTCAATACGGTGGCGTACACACCGGTCAATACAGTGGCGTACACACCGGTCAGCACGGTGGCGTACACACCGGTCAGCACAGTGGCGTACACACCGGTCAGCACGGTGGCGTACACACCGGTCAACACGATGGCGCACACACCGGTCAATACGGTGGCGTACACACCGGTCAGCACAGCACGGTGGCGTACACACCAGTCGACACGGTGGCGTGCACACCGGTCAGCACGGTGGCGTACACACCGGTCAGCACGGTGGCGTACACACAAGTCAGCACGGTGGCGTACACACCGGTCAGCACAGCGGCGTACACACCGGTCAGCACGGTGGCGTACACACCGGTCAATACGGTGGCGTACACACCGGTCAACACGGTGGCGTACACACAAGTCAACACGGTGGCGTACACACCAGTCAGCACGGTGACGTACACACCGGTCAATACGGTGGCGTACACACCGGTCAATACGGTGGCGTACACGCCGGTCAATACGGTGGCGTACACACCGGTCAGCACGGTGGCGTACACACCGGTCAGCACAGTGGCGTACACACCGGTCAGCACGGTGGCGTACACACTGGTCAATACGATGGCGTACACACCGGTCAATACGATGGCGTACACACCGGTCAGCACAGCACGGTGGCTTACACACCAGTCGACACGGTGGCGTGCACACCGGTCAGCACGGTGGCGTACACACCGGTCAGCACAGTGGCGTACACACCGGTCGGCACGGTGGCGTACGCACCGGTCAGCACGGCCCGGGCCGACCACAGCGGCAGCCAATCAACAACCCGCACGACGCTGCCGACCAATCTACTTTAATCACGGCGCCACCAGCAGCCAATCACCGAAACAGCCCACAAACGCGTCTCGCTCCCAACCAATCGTCGTCCCGCCAACTCTCCCAAGCGAACCCTCGTCGTCCCGCCAGCTCTCCCAGCGGCCTCGGCCAAGCCGTCGCTTAAGCCGCCCGTCGCCTGATGCCGCCGACCGCTCACCATGTCCAGCGGCATCTGCGCGGCGATGTCGAAGCCGAAGGCGGCGCGCAGGTAGCGCTGCTCCACTCGGCTGCCCACCAGGATGTACATGGTGTCCAGACAGTCGAGCAGGTACACGCCCGACGAGTCGACGAACTCGGAGGACAGCTGCAGCCGCGGCGGCTGCGGGATCAGCAGCTCGTCCTGCTCGATGGCACCCTGTGTGGGCAGGTCACAACAGGTCACGGCAGGTCAGGTCACACCAGGTCACGGTCAGGTGGCGTCACGCCGGGTCACGATAGGTCATGTCCCACAAGGTCACGACAGGTCACGTCACACAAGGTCACGGCAGGTCAGGTCACACCAGGTTACGCCAGGCGGCGTCACACCAGGTCACGACCGGTCGGCATCACACTGGGTCACAGTCGGTCAGGTCACACCAGGTCACGACCGGTCGGCGTCGCACCAGGTCACAGCCGGTCAGGTCACACCAGGTCACGACAGGCCAGGTCACACCAGGTCACGACCGGTCGGCGTCACACCCACAACATCGCGACATACTCACCACAGCATGGCGAAACGGTTACTGCGGCAGCGCGTGTCGCCAGTCCATGAAAGCACACATGCTCATGCTCGTAGGATAACCGACACGCAATCACGGCTCTGCGTGACGTGATCAGGCTTTTGTCGCGACCACGTCCGAATCATGTCACCGGGGACAGCCGGGGCCGTCCAAGACATTGCACTGGGCGTTCAGTGCCGCCCCAGCAAAATATCGTGCATTCCTGTGGCGGAACAAACGTTATAAAACGCCAGCGCCTCTTGACACACATGAGCCAGTGGGACGCAGTCTTCTGAGCTTCGCACCCCTGGGCTTGACCTGAGTCCCAGGCCCAGTTGGCACATGCCGCCTGCCAGAACGCTGCCGGTTCTGTTGCCGCTCGGCTGCAGCCGTCGAGTCGCGACCGATGGTGAACCAACAGGCTACGGCTAGTTTAAGTCCCTAAACCCCTGCACAGTCCATTTCATTCATAGCCCTTCCGCTCGCGCACGCGGGCGGCGGCAGGCGCCGGCGGCGAGAGCGGCCGGTCCCGGACTCGGGCTGCTTAGTCAGGTCTCCGGTGGCGTCAGCTGACGCTTGGCCGGAGCTAACACTGGCCGCCTACGACTTGCATTTCCTCCACGAAGCGGATGCTTGTCGATAACACCCGCGCCTCTAACGTCACCCTCTTATTCCGGCGCGATTTTGTGACGCGTTTTCCGTCAGCCCAGATCATCACTGGACCCCACCGACATGCCGCTTGAGCTCTGACGGGTTATGACAGCTTGCCACGCGCGTGACGCCATGGGGCCATCACGCCGCCGGCGAGTGTGGCGGCAGAGGTGTCGGCAGCGGCGCGCCCACGCCGGTCGGCGCACTTGGCGGCGCCGCCCAGCGAACGGCGGCCCTGCTAGGTTGGCGCGCCGGGGCCGCTGACACGAGCCTGAGGCGCACCGACCCGACCCCTAGCGCATCCTTTTTTGCGAACTGGCACAACGCCGTCCACCTCCATTTCTTTGAAGGCTGGCAGTTTAAAGAGGCGCCACTGACGTGAGCCTCGCTCTTCTCCAGACCCTGCCTGGACCTCCAAGCCTGCAAAACCTTAGACAGTCCTCAGGCTAATAGCCAAGTCGACATGTTATCATCGATGTAGGCAAGAGAAAGACCTGTCCGCATTTGAAGAGATGTATGGACGGAGAATAGCTGCTAATTACGAACTACGGGTAAGCTAAGCTAGAATTTTCCGCATTCCAACTTTTACACAGCTAAATGCATTCAGACGATCGGTAAGTTTTCCCGGCGGCAGTCTCCCAAAGCGCCTTCTCAGCGCCACCTTAATCTCCGCGCCCTCTTCTAAACCAGCACTCGTGCAGCTACCGTCTTCGCGTCCTCTTCTAAACCAGCACCCGTGCGGCTACCGTCTCCGCGTCCTCTTCTAAACCAGCACCCGTGCAGCTACCGTCTCCGCGTCCTCTTCTAAACCAGCACTCGTGCAGCTACCGTCTCCGCGTCCTCTTCTAAACCAGAACTCGTGCAGCTACCGTCTCCGCGTCCTCTTCTAAACCAGCACCCGTGCAGCTACCGTCTCCGCGTCCTCTTCTAAACCAGCACCCGTGCAGCTACCGTTCCCGCATACTCTTCTTAACCAGCACCCGTGCAGCTACCGTTCCCGCATCCCCTTCTTAACCAGCACCCGTGCAGCTACCGTTCCCGCATACTCTTCTTAACCAGCACCAGTGCAGCTACCGTCCCCGCATCCTCTTCTAAACCAGCACCCGTGCACCTATCGTCCCCGCGTCCTCCTCTAAACCAGCACCCGTGCAGCCACCGTTCCCGCATACTCTTCTTAACCAGCACCAGTGCAGCTACCGTCCCCGCATCCTCTTCTAAACCAGCACCCGTGCAACTACCGTCCCCGCGTCCTCCTCTAAACCAGCACCCGTGCAGCCACCGTTCTCGCGTACTCTTCTTAACCAGCACCAGTGCAGCTACTGTCCCCGCATCCTCTTCTAAACCAGCACCCGTGCACCTACCGTCCCCGCGTCCCCTTCTAAGCCAGCACCCGTGCAGCTGCCGTCCGCGCGTCCTTCTCTTAACCAGCATCCATGCAGCCCCGTCTCCGCGTCCTGTTCCGGTCCAGCCTCACCATCCCGCCCGCCCCTACGTTTTACGCCGCCGGACGGCCGACGGCACTGAGCGCCGACCGCCCCGGACGCCGTCCACGGCCGGACGTAGCGCCGGCTCCCCTTCCCCTCTCCGCAGCCGGGAACTCACCTCGTCGCTGAGCAGGTGGACGGCGTAGAGGTCCGGGTAGACGGACGTCATCAGCTGACTCAGCGGCAGACACTTGAGCTGGCTCATGGCGTACGAGCGTTCGTCCAGCTTGGTGCTCAGACCCGACCTGGCGGCATCGGAGGACACGTCGACTGTATGTCAAGAGCTAGGCTCAACCGATGGCTACGCTGTCGAATTCCCGTAGTCTTTTTCACTTCGGCCTTACTCCAATAACTTACGTCAGTAGCACTATCGTTCCCGACGTTAAGTGACGGTTCACAAAAGACTCATTCGTAGGGGGTAAACTTTTCAGAGGTCCTTGGTGGCGTAAGATCCCAAGAAAACAATCGTCGTCTTCCGTACGGGATACACTTTTCAGCAGTTCTTGGTGGCGCAAGATGCTAAGAAAACGATCGTGGTCAAGATAATGCAGAGACAACGCTTGGCTGGTACAAAGACATCGCCCCGAATACAGACTTCGACAGCTCACAGCAAGCAAAAGAAGCGGAGTTAGACGAGAGCGTCGTACCGATACAGCCCCGCTGTGCTCATTTTGGTTCAACCTAAGCAGATCTGCACGTTCGAATACGCAACACTTGCGAGCTATCTTGTACAACGTTAAGATCCAGTGACGATTGCCGCGGGGAACTAGCTTACAGTACATCACAGATTTTCACTCACATTGCAATCCGCAAACCCTGGGTTTCAATTTCATTAAACAACCGAGCTCATTAACGCCCAACCGTGTCGCCGCATCGCAGGTGAGCGGGAGCAGTGTGAGTGAAACGCCACTTCCCTTGGCGTCCAAAGCCAACACCGGACCAGACTAAACGCTCCCAGTTCCTACAGCAAGCCGTGAGGCTGAGCCACGAGCGCCAGCTCCCCAAACCTCTCCAGAAGCACCAAAACTCCTCCGAACGACCGCCCTCCTCAAACCGTACTCTTTCTGCGCCCCCAGCCGGGCGCACCACCGCCGACTCCCGGCTGTCAGCGGACCCCGAGGCCCACACCCCCTCCCCCGCTCGACTCCACCACACTTCCCGCTCGTCGGGCACCGGAGCTGACCCGGCGGCGGCGGCGGGGCAGCGGCGGCGCTCACCTGAAGGCCGGGTGCTTGAGCAGGGCCAGCGTGAAGAGCGGCAGCAGCCGGAGCGGCAGCGGCGCGTCCAGCCCGGCGCCGGGGGAGCTCAGCGTGGCGCGGTACGCCCCGAGCGCGTCCAGCACCGAGTTGACCATGGCCTCGCGCGCGTCCGGCAGAGACGACGCCAGGCAGCGGTCCACAGCTGGCGGCACAGCAGCGGCGTTACAGCTAGGCCACCGCCGCGGCCGGCGGCGGGAGGCCGGTGGCACGCCAGACAACGGCCGCCTGCCGCTGACAGTTGCGAGGCCTCCAGCGGGCACCACAACGGGAAACGACGCGGGCACGCAATGTAAAGGAAACACGCCATCTTCTACACGTTAAGTCATGACAAACAAGCTTTGGACAGAAATAACAGCGTGTTACGCCCACGAACAAACGTTCTGTGAATGACGATGGGCAACCGTGGGAAGAGGAACACGGTGCTGTCGAGCATCGGACACTGTAACCGGCTCATCCAGCTCTCTGCACCATCTGGCTGTTGGTGGGGAGCGAAAGCCTCAGTGTGCGTGTGCGTATGCGAGTGTGTGCGTGCGTGTGTGCGCGAGTGCGGGTTGGAGGCGGGGGAATTATATTTTCCCAGCGGCGCGCACGTTCCTACCCAAACTGGCCCCCGCCAGCCGGCCACGGGACAGCGGCCACCGCAGCGTGCAGCAGCTGCCACCGCCACAACACTTGTGATCTTCCAATCCCCGATGGCCATCAAGACTGTGCCGGTGTATTGTCGCGTCTGTTAAGTGGCGCGCCCCGAGCGGAGGCAGCGTTCGCCTGACGACTAGCGGGCTCACGCACAGCGTGCATCGTCAGTGCCCTCCATGGCTGTCGTACGGATCAGCGACTCGCACTGGGCCCACGGCGTTGTCCCGACCAATCAGCACCCTTCCATGAGCCAGCGGCGCAAGGAGTTATGTCCATCTACTGATACTGCCCTCCACGGTTGTCCTACGAATCAGCAACCAGCATCGGGCCCACGGCGCTGTCCCGACCAATCAGCACCCTCCCATGAGCCAGCGGCGTACGGAGTTATGTCCATCTACTGACCCATCTTGGCGAGCAGGCTGACGACGGCCTCCTGGTCGGCGCCGTGGATGACCTCGTGCACGTTGGGCGTCACCCGCAGGCAGAGCGTGTGTACGCGGATACGTCGCTCCCCTGGCAGACGCACGAACACACACAGACACGTGAGCGGCCCCGGCCTCAGCTGTGGCGCTCGCCAGACACGGGCGGCGCTGCCAGGGGCGGCCAGATACGCCGCTCCCCTGGCAGACGCGCGGACACACACAGACACGTGAGCGCCGCCGGCCTCAGCTGTGGCGCTCGCCAGACACGGGCGGCGCTGCCGGGGGCGGCCGGACCGGCTAGCGCACAGCTCTCGGGCTCACTTCACGGTGGTGGCCGGTCAAGGACGACCGTACGCGCTACATCGGAGAGAGTCGGCAGTTACAACCAAGTTGTCGTGACTTGTAACTGGCTGACATACAGCCTGCTTTAAGACCTGCGACACTGAAGACCCAGGCTGGGAGCTTCACACACATACAGCCTTCAGCCATCCAACCAAGATTATGTGCTGTCGACGTTCCACCGTGTATCCTTCAGCCTTAACGTTCATGTCTGACCACAACCGGCAAAATAATACAGTAACCGCACATTACAACCAAAAAACGTGCGGATGCATTGGCTGGCCGATCAAATATCTTAGCACATCAATAGCAACGCGGTGTCTCAACACATCTGACACCGCCCCGCCTGGACTGTCAGCCCCCACACCACAGGCCGGCCCTCTGCCGCGCCAGGTGCTAGCGTACCCTTGCTGGATGTGTAGAGCAGGGCGGCCTGGAAGCAGGCCGTGTGCGTGTCGCTGAGCGCCTCCTCCACCGACACCTGGATGCCGAACCCGGCGTCCGGGTTCACGTTCGGCAGCGACAGCAGGTCCGTCGAGCGCACGAAGAAATTGCCGTGGAACGTGTGCATCGCCAGGCCCCTGGTGACGGTGGCGGCAAGCTTAGTTTGCAGGCCGCGTCGGCAGAGGTCAGCAGCGACCACAGGCGCATCAGCGAGAGAACGTCCCCATGGCTTGACGTGGGCATTGGATATCTAGACATCATGTGACGACCACACCGTTCACCCCACGGGCGGCATCTGGTGCGCCCCACACCGCTCCTCCCACGCACCAGCTCCACAACCGCGTCACGGATCCGAGCCGGGCGCCCGAGCCCGCCCGGCAGCGGCGGCCTCCGCACCCACCGAGTGCAGCGTATGCGCATGACGGCCTCGAAGCCGATCTTGCGCGTCAGGTAGCGGCGCAGGCCGCGCTCCAGCGCCTCCGTCTGCGCCGGGTTGTGCACGGTGTGCACGCCCGGATAGAAGTGCAGGCAGCCGCCGGAGAACTGGCTCACGCCGGCTGCCGGACACGGGCGGACAGGCGGGCCGTGAACGGGCGGCCGACAGACGGCGCCAGTGTCGGCTCACGGCACGGCCGCGTCCAAGAGAGCGTGTGCGGCGCGCCGTCGGCAGCCGCACAGCGGGCGGCTCCCAGCGTGCGACGACGCGCCACGTTTGACTGATGTCCGGGGCGAGGTGAGGTCGCAGAAGACAGACAGCTCGCGACGACATCACGCACGGAATTCACAGGGCATGGGCGGGTGAAGTGATATGTGCCCAACATGGCGCGTGGCGTCAACCCCTCCCCCCCCACACACACGCACGCACGCACGCACGCACACACACACACACACACGCACGCACGCACGCACGCACGCACGCACGCACGCACGCACGCACGCACGCACGCACGCACGCACGCACGCACGGGTGACTCACAGAGCGTGGCCAGGTCGGTGTAGGCTCCAGCCACAGAGAACAGATCGACGGCCACCTGTTGGGACGAGCACTCGAGCGCCAGCTTCTTGTAGAAGTCGGTGGCCGGGCCCAGGTGAGGGCTGCTCTTGCCTGAGGCCAGGTCAGACGCCGAGACCGAGTCAGAGCGCGCCAACACCGATGGCGGGAACAAGATGGCGTCCGTCACGCGACGGTGACAGGTAACATCACACGCTCCAAACCGGGGGGAAGGGGGTTAACCCAGGTGAGTACGAGAGATTTGGGGTGGGCGTGGAAGTGAGAGTGGGCGAGGGGACAATTGCGAAATCGCTAAATCATGCTCCAGTCAAGAATGACGGCCGTCCTGGAAGCCGTGAGCCGTATAGACGCTGACTGAAAGGTGATGTTGCCATATCGCAGCGACATGCACCACTATGCACTGAGCCGAAAATCGCTCCTGTGGTAGCCAAAAACAGCAGTGTTTCCACAAATATTGTTCAGTTAGGATGGGATACCAAGGCTTCAACGCCGCGATTTACTTTTGCATTGTTTTCACTAGCATTTCCCCGAATATAATCGCTGCGTAGAAGACACTGTGCGCAATCGCTGTGTGGAAGACAGCCCAGCAGAGACCAGCCCATCCCAGCCCAGCCCGCCACTCACCGGCCCTGTTGTTGGGGTCCTCGCGCGGCACCAGCGCGCCCGGCCCGCGCGACGGCAGCGACGCCAGCACGGCTGTGATACGACCTCCGACCGGGTACTGCGGCACACAGGGGCACCAAGCGTGACACCAGGACCTTCACCACATAGGGTAGGCACGCGGGGCACCACGCGTGACATCGGGGGTCCTCACCAGACCGGGTACACTGTGTGACGGCACACCGGCGGCGGGCGCTCTTTTTGTTCAAGGGACACAGCCATGTGTGGACATCATGTAGACACACACCGTACGAGGGACACCATCACATGGACATACACCGTACGAGGAAACACCATAACGTGGACATACACCGTACCAGGGGCCACCCTCATGTGGACACACACCATACGAAGGGACACCCTCATGTGGACATACACCGTACGAAGGGACACCCTCATGTGGACATACACCGTACGAGGGGACATCATCATGTGGACACACACCGCACGAGGGGACACCGCCAGGCCGGCGCACACCGCGCGAGAGGCACTCACGGACCGCCACCCCGTGTCTGAGGTCGGGACACCACCATCACTAACACCGGAGGGCTGAGCGCGGAGACAGCGACAGCGTCGCTCGGGCGGCGGGCGCGGCTCTACTCACCACCAGCTTGTAGGCGGCCTGCAGGGCGACGCCCAGGCAGCTGCCGGTGCTGTGCGAGCCGGCGAACCAGTCCGGCAGCTGGGTGAGCAGGTCCTGCACCAGGTCGCGCGAGCTGGCCAGGTTCACCAGCAGCCCGTCCGGAGACGGCACGAACACGTCTGCCGGACATCGGCCGCCGCACCCCCCGGTCAGCTGACGTCACCGGTTCGGGTCACGCGCCACGTGTCAGGGACGGGTCAGCCGTCAGGGACCACGGCACGGGATCAGGTCACGGCTGCCGAGTCGGGCAGGATAACGAGCCTCGCTGGGTCACAGTTCACAGAGCCGAGTCGGGCGGGATAACGAGCCTCGCTGGGTCACGGTTCACAGGACCGAGTCGGGCGGGATAACGAGCCTCGCTGGGTCACAGTTCACAGAGCCGAGTCGGGCGGGATAACGAGCCTCGCTAGGCCACAGTTCACAGGACCGAGTCGGGCGGGATAACGAGCCTCGCTAGGCCACAGTTCACAGGACCGAGTCGGGCGGGATAACGAGCCTCGCTGGGTCACGGTTCACAGGGCCGGGTAGCGCCACGGGACGTCACGGTCAGGGCCAGGAGGCGGGTCACAGGAGCGGGTCAGCTGGCGGCGGTCATGGTCCTGAGTTGGGCCAGCAGTCACCCGAGATTCTTTTCTTCCGCACCAGTCATTCATGAAAGCGCAATAACGGGGTCAGCCCTTTCACGAAGTTGGTAGAAACGAAAGGAAAGACAATACGCGAACGGAAGGGGAGCCTCGTACCCAAAGTGCATTCCTACACCAGCTGTGCAACGTTTCAATGTCAGCTGATTCCTTCGGGCTATCGCCTTGCCGACGGGGACAAGCCGAAGTTAAATATTCGCAGAAACGGTGTGCAGCAAGCAGGCAAGCACATATAAAGACCCCACGCGAACCACGTGAGCTGCCGCGACCCGCATCGACAGTGACCGCCGACTCCCTGCCGCCAGCGGCCACTGGCGTCGGTCGGCGGGTGGGCGGCCGCCCGCCTGCGTGACGCCGCCCGCGGCTGCGGCCGGCGGCGGTTCCGGCGCGGGTCGGGCCGCCGCGCCGCACCCGCGCCGCCCCGGCCGCCGCTCACCTTCCACGTCGCCGACCACCATCATGCGCGGCTGTGTGAGGCCCTCCGACAGGTCGTAAAAGTGCACGCTCTCGTCGTAGGTGATGAAGCCGATCTGGCGGCGGAGGACGGCCGGTCACCGCACGGCGGTCACCCGCGGAGGGGAGGGGGTGGTCAAATCAGGCGGCGGTACCCGACGGCGATCAGCAGACGCGGGTCAGCCAGCAGGCAGACGGAGGGCGACTGGTCAGCTGACAGGAGAGCACGGGTCGGTACACATCGAGTGACCATTCAGCAAACAACGGCTGGCCGACGAGCCGGCTGGTAATCAGACAAAAGCCAACCAATCGGCGGGCAGCACCCAATAAGCGACCAGGTCAATCAGCCCACACTACAGCTTACACAGAATTGACGCCATATCAAACGTATCAAACGACCCTGCGCCGCCGCTGGGTCACAGCGCCGGCCCTGCGCCGCCGCTGGGTCACCGCGCCGGCCCTGCGCCGCTGCCGGGTCACCACGCCGGCCCCGCGCCGCCGCTGGGTCACGAGCCGGCCCTGCGCCGCTGCCGGTCACAGCGCCGGCCCTGCGCCGCCGCTGGGTCACCGCGCCGGCCCTGCGCCGCTGCCGGTCACAGCGCCGGCCCTGCGCCGCCGCTGGGTCACCGCGCCGGCCCTGCGCCGCTGCCGGGTCACGCGCCGGCCCTGCGCCGCCGCTGGGTCACAGCGCCTGCCCTGCGCCGCTGCCGGTCACCGCGCCGGCCCTGCGCCGCTGCTGGGTCGCCGCGCCGGCCCTGTGCCGCCGCTGGGCTCTGACCTGTGTGCGGGAGTCTCCCGGCAGTCGCTCCAGCTCGTCCAGCAGCGTGTCGCAGAACACGCGCAGGTAGCCCGTCTCCAGCGCCGCGTGCGACACGTCCAGCACGAACAGGTAGCAGGCGGGCTGCGGCGGACGCACCTGGCGAGGCGCGGCACACGCCTGAGGCACGGCCCGAGCGGGGCTGGCACGGACCCGCCCACACGGGCGCCGGACCGCAGCGGGTCCGGTCAACAGACCCGCTGCTTGACGTCACCTCACCAGACGTCAGACCGCGCGGGCGTCACCAGGCAGAACACGCGTTCCAGGGTGTAGGGGCGGGGGAGGGGGAGGGGAGAGAGGAGACACAACTAAGTGGGCTCTTTGTGCGGGCAACACGTCCGTGACACGAGCCAGCCGCTATGGCGTCTCCCAGCCGGTCCGCCGCCGCGCCGCGCCGCGCCCATCCCCGCGCGCCTGGTCCCCGGCCGCCGTCCTCACGGTTCAGGCGAGAGCGTGCCGTGCCGCTGTGATAACGACACCAGCGACGCGGTGCACGTGCTCCCGCTCCCTCTCATTCACCCCCTCACTAACTCACTCTCACTCTCCGCTCGGTCTGGGTCTGGCGGGTCTGAGTCTCTCTCCCCCCTCCTCGTCTCTCTCCCTCCTCCCTCTCTCTCCCCCACCACCCCCCCCCCCCTCCCTCTCTCTCTCTCTCTTCTCTCTCTCTCTCTCTCTCTCTCTCGTCTCTCTCTCCCTCTCTCTATCTCTCTCTCTCTCTCTCTCTCTCTCTCCTCTCTCTCTCTCTCTCTCTCCTCTCGCTCTCTCTCTCTCTCCCTCTCGCCTCTCTCTCTCCCTCTCCCTCTCTCTCTCTCTCTCTCCCCTCCCTCTCTCCCCGCCTCTCTGTGTGCCGCTCCCCCCGACGCTTACCATGTACTCGGAGGGCGCGATGAACTCGATGGTGGACGACTTGCACTCGGGCCGCCGGCTCGGGTCGCCGTACGTCTTGCTGACCGGGTCGTACTGGAACTCCTCGGGCACTGGCGGCGCGGCCAACGACATCGCACGTCACCTCCCGTGCCGCGCACCGCCGGCACAACGGCGGACACACACACACACTCGTGCACACATACACGCGCGCCAGCCGCTGGCGCCGACACACTGCACCGCACGTCAGCTGCCCCGCTGACGCTGCGGAAGCCCCGGCCGGGGAAGCTGCCCTGTGCTGCCCTAGTGTCGGCGGCACGCTGGGGCAGCGAAACACCCAACCAAACATAGCGTGCCGCACATGACCCGGGCCCGTGTTGCCGGTGATCCACCGTCTCCGCCGCAGCTCAGCGTCGCACCAAACGCCCCGTGATCACACAGGCCGCCGAGCGTCTGGCCCGCTGGCGGCCGGCCGCTGCTGACCCCCGACCCCTCACCCTGCCACACGTGTCGCGGAGCCGCTGCCGGCGCTGAGCGGCGCGCGACGGGCGACGGGCGACGGGCGGCAGGCGGCGGACGCAGCGTATGCCACACTCACGGTCGTTGGCGCGGTAGCAGAGGTTGCACTTCCAACGTCGCTGGTCGATGAAGTAGACGAACGGGTTGATGTAGGTGCGACAGGAGCGGCAGCGCACGATCGTGTTGCACTGGATCACCGGCAGCGACTGCGGCAAGTCCACCCAGATGCCGTCACAGCCGCCGTCTCACCACAGTCGTGGACCGAGACGACAGAGCGACACAGCAGACGAGGCTCCGGGCATGGGCGGTCAGGCACGCCCGTCACTCAGACGGCGGCCGAGCGGCCGGAGCCCGACGCCGGCCACTCTGTGCACGGTCTGCGAGCCTGCAGAGCCGGGCCACACCATCGGCAAGGCGCCGCTCGGACAGCGGTGTGCCAGGCTGCGCCAGCTGCCCAGCTGGAGCAGCTGCTGAAGCCGCCAGCTGCCCAGGTACCCAGCTGGAGGCGGCACAGTCCGAGCGGGCCTTCAGGCTGCTACGACTTCACAGTCCCGCCACGCTAACACGAGGGGCGGCGGTGCCGGCAGCCAGTGCGCCCCACGCCCTTGGCAACACGGCTACGGACACAGCGAACTGGAGACGACGCAGGCGGCCATAAAAAGGCGTTCTACATCGCTATTGACATGCGCGGGAGAAGACAATCCGATATCAACATCCCCCTCGACACGGTTCGCAGCCGTACCTCACTCGGCCTGCAACGTAGGGTAAGCCCTTCAGTCTTAAATGGCTAAAGGATTGCCTCCCATGCCGGGAATCGAACCCGGGCCTTCTGGGTGAAAGCCAGATATCCTAGCCACTAGACCACATGGGACCTGTACAACCGCGGCGTACGCGGCCGAGGCAGGCAGCTGCTGGCCTTCAGCATTCAGGAGCACCAGCCCGTTCTTTGTATCGTGACAGCAGCCCAGACAATACTCACAAGTGCATTCCCTGAACGAGCGAGCGAGCCCGGTCGTGCTCTCTGCCGGCACGCTCAAGACACTCCCCTACTCAATCCTGACCGTGTTCCCCGAGGACCGTCACAGACCCGGCGACGGCGGCGGCCGGCGCGCTCGCCGAGCCGCGACCGGGCCGCCGCGGCGCGCGCGCCACACTCACCGGCAGGTCCTTGAACGGGTGGATGACGATGCCGAAGGGCAGGCGCGACTTCTGCAGGATGCTGGCCGTCTCCGGCACGCGGGTCAGCGTGGAGCGGAAGATGCTGCAGCGAGAGACGTAGCGAGAGGTCACGGGCGGGCGACGGTCACGAGGGAGCCGGCACAGACACGTGGGCTGGAGGGGTCCTGATAGCGCGGAGAGCAAGCGCAGACACAGGCTCGGGATCCGACCGCACGCATGTCGGGTTGTGCGGACGTGAGCGCGCTAGTTGCGTGTGGTTCTCAACTTGTGGAAAGCGCGCGCATGCCTATCCAGTTGAGCTGTTCACGCCGTTCGCGGCCGGAGAAACCCACGCGACGAGCGCTCTTATTTTCTCCCCACCCGACTCACGCGCCACTAACCCTCTCCCCAACAGCCCTAAACCTCAAGAACCCTCCAGCCACAAACCCGAGGAAGCATGCCAACAAGATCGCAGGCAGCTGCGGGGACTGGGCAAAAACACAGACAGCAGAGATAGTGGGCACACAAAAAGCCTAACAAAATCTTCGGTGCGCCTGCGCCGGCGGCTGTTCAGCAGGCGACCCGCGCACTTACTCGGGGCTGCAGTTGCTGTTGTTGAGGTGCTCCTGGGGCAGGACGACCTTGGGCGGCTCCAGCCGCGTCGGCGGCAAGGATGTGCCGCTGCTGCAGGCGGAAACGGAGCTGGCGTCACGCACACAGCAGACAGCGCAGCGCTGGCGGTGTCACACACAGCAGACCGCGCAGCGCCGGCAGTG